AGGGATAGTAAATATCCCTTTCTTTCTTTCTTTCTTTCTTTTTTCTTTTTTTTGTTTTTTTGTTTGTTTGTACACGCTTGCTTTGTGTGCTTTAACAATTTTCTCTCTGTAGCATGCATGTTGCAGAAGATTATATACATCTTTACACTGAAGAAATGCGATTCTTGCTGTCCTTGCTTGGGAATGTAATGTGCATGTGCATCCGTTGGATGTGACACCCGTTGCTATTCTCCACATTCTTGCACAGTCCTTCTCAAGCCCCTTCCTGATTTTGGCACATTTAGATCGCATAGAATATGCGTATTTTCTGTTGTTGTTTTTTTTTTTTTTTTTTTTTTTTTCAAAAGGTTATACCGACTAATGAAGGGAATAAAAGCTTCCGGGGACACCGCCAACAACACATTTCTCCTAAACCAAACCACACCCCTTAAGGCCATACATATCCCAAAAGATGTCGGACAAGGTTGAGGCTGGCCCCAACGACATGGCCCCTAAGCCTAGCTTTGGTGCCCGCGTCAAGGCTAGTTTCAAGAGGTTTTGGTGGCTATATCTGGGCATTTTCATTGCAGTTGTGCTCGTTATCATCTTGCCTGTGTAAGTCCTTGCCGTTCTGTCTACGTTTTTTGATTCCGTATTGCCACTCATACTCCCCCTTTGGTGGCGCGGTGATGCAGCTTGTCTTCATTTTGGTGTTTGAGATATATGCTTGTTAGACGGGGTCTAGCATGCGTATATGTGCTCCATAAATGAACAGTCCATATACACATCCTTATGGGAACATCTTGTTACATATCCCGCAGAATGGTGCAAGGAACCGTTTTCGAGAATGACATAACTAAGCATCAACGCTGACCTCAAAAACAACAGCATCTACGTCGGCTACCCCAACATCGCCCAACGCGAAGTGAACAGATCCACCCTCACCATCAACTCCATGGAAATCACCGACCCGACCCCAGACTCCTTCCGCATCAAAGTTGACCAGACCATCGGCTCTAAGTCCAAGTTCCACCCCCAACTCGACGCCTTCAACGCCACCATCGCCACTGCTGGCAGCGGGAAGCCCTTCATCACCCTCGAAGTCCCCCCTGTCAAGGCCTCCGATGGCGCCAATGCCGTGATTGACCAGATCGTCATGCCTGATCTGGAGTCCTTCACGGACTACTCCATCCAGGTTATGAAGTCCGAGACCGTTGATCTTGAGATCACAGGCAGGACAGGCTTGAAGGAGGGTTCTCTGCCGAAGACGACGGTGGATTACCACAAGGTTATTACCATGAAGGGTATGTTTCTGTTTTATTATTGTTGTTGGTGGTGTTGCCATTGTATAAGAAAATGCATTTGCTGACAACGGAATCGCACTTTCAAAAACAGGCCTCAATGCACTCAAGGGCTTCGAAGTGAAACACTTCGAACTCGCCTCCAAGCAACCCGACGGAAGCAACATGATTGGTGAAGTCTTCATCCCAAACCCCAGCGTCCTAACCCTCACCTTGGTAAGTTATCAGGTCACTCCCCCCCCCCCCCACCCCAACCCCACATAAATATTTCATTCCCTGTTTCCGTTGGTTTTTGAGTGAGGAGGTAAATTGTAGCTTCCTGATGAACGAATAAAGTAGTGGACTTAAGTTTTTCCGCTTTTGGAGCTGGCCGCGGGTTTGGTCGGCATGTGGGGTATCAATCTAAATTTGCCAGAGGTGGCCTTC